TGTCACGTATCATCAGCCACACGGCTTTCTGGGGAGTGCATCGTTTCAGCAACGTTGATTCAACGCAAGACAAACTCTGGACCCGTTTCGATATTTAACGTCTCATGAGCAGTCAGGCTCGCGAGGACCGATCAGCTCTCCTTATGAGCTGAGACCTCCAACATCCCCGGCTTTGACGGCGAACTGAACCGGCTCTCACCCCGATACACTGCTCAGCACGGAGACGCGTCTTGGAAGAGTTTATGCAGTGTAAGATTTATGTGTCAAACTTGGCTTTGCCGATGTGGAATTCTTCTTCTTTCACTTCTTGCTCACGTCTCTGCAAAGAGAGCCGCAGCCTGGCTCTAAGAGCCGTAGCAGATGGAGAGGCCAGGAGGGAGCAGTTGCGTTTCATGTGCACGTCACCCGGCTCCCATCAATCACGCACATGCAGGTGTTCGAGCCCCTCCCCTCTCTTCCTCCCAAATGCTCCGTCCCCAGCAATCACCACTCTCTCCCCATCTCTCTCTGTACTAGAATATTCCTGCTATTCTTCATTCTGTCTCTGCTTCTCATCTCTCACTGCGCTCTACACACGTTCACGACACTTTTCTTTGTGTATTTCGCACATACCCAATCAAAAACAAGATCCCCGTATAACCATAACCACCTCTTGGTGGGTGGCCAATACAACGGCCAGCCGCCTTTGTCTCCCTAGTGCTGATGTTTTACACACTACACCAGAGGTATTCATTTAAGTCTTAGCATACACACATGCACACTCAATCATGCACATACATACTATCACACACGCATACACAGATGCAAACCACGCGCAAAGATACATGTAAATATTTCGCACACACACACTTGTGTTGATATCAATAAAAAATGAGCAAATAATGCAATTCTAAATTTAAATAAATAATTTCCTCAAAATCATTACCACAACCACAGATGTGTCACATCTTTATTTTCTGGATTGTTACATTTTTTAAGCGTAATTCTAAATTATATTCCAGCTGCATTCCTGGGTGGCAAGTGCGGTCTTCGCTGTAGAGTTTGGATCGCGAGAATAAAAACATCTGCTGCTCACAGTTTCCTGGCCAGGATTGATGCAAGTCGTTGGATGTAGGTGAGCACCACGTGTGTGTTTTCCTCTTTCTCACTGATCCAGTGGATGGAGTTGGCGGTTGCGCCACAGCACAACATAATCATTGAGCGCCTTTGTTCAGTATATTAGTAACGCAATAAATAGGAAAAGTGCCGCATCAAGCGGGGAATTATTGTTACTGAATGTTATTTGCCCATTCCATAGCGGGACAAAGAACTGAGATTAGGGTATCATTCTGCTTACTATATCATTCTGCTTACTATATCATTCTGCTGACAATATAATTATGCTTACTATATCATTCTGCTTACTATATCATTCTGCTGACTATATCATTCTGCTGACAATATAATTATGCTTACTATATCGTTCCGCTTACTATATCATTCTGCTGACTATATCATTCTGCTGACTATATCATTCTGCTTACGATATCATTCTGCTTACTATATCATTCTGCTTACTATATCATTATGCTTACTACATCATTCTGTTTACTATGTCATTCTGATTACTATATCATTATGCTTACTATATCGTTCCGCTTACTATATCATTCTGCTGACTATATCATTCTGCTGACTATATCATTCTGCTGACTATATCATTCTGCTGACTATATCATTCTGCTTACTATATCATTCTGCTGACTACATCATTCTGCTGACTATATCATTCTGCTGACTATATCATTATGCTTACTATATCGTTCCGCTTACTATATCATTCTGCTGACTATATCATTCTGCTGACTATATCATTCTGCTGACTATATCATTCTGCTGACTACATCATTCTGCTGACTATATCATTCTGCTGACTATATCATTCTGCTGACTATATCATTCTGCTGACTATATCATTCTGCTGACTATATCATTCTGCTTACTATATCATTCTGCTGACTACATCATTCTGCTGACTATATCATTCTGCTGACTATATCATTCTGCTTACTATATCATTCTGCTGACTATATCATTCTGCTGACTATATCATTCTGCTGACTATCATTATGCTTACTATATCATTCTGCTGACTTTATCATTCTGCTGACTATATCATTCTGCTGACTATATCATTCTGCTGACTATATCATTCTGCTGACTATATCATTCTGCTGACTATATCATTCTGCTTACTATATCATTCTGCTGACTATATCATTCTGCTGACTATATCATTCTGCTGACTATCATTATGCTTACTATATCATTCTGCTGACTTTATCATTCTGCTGACTATATCATTCTGCTTACTATATCATTCTGCTGACTATATCATTCTGCTGACTATATCATTCTGTTGACTATATCATTCTGCTGACTATATTATTCTGCTGACTGTATCATTCTTCTTACTATATCATTATGCTGACTATATCATTCTGCTCACTATATCGTTACATTTTGACTGCAGGAATTCATATTCTATGGTTCTTTCGGTAAAGTCACGTAGATAGAAAATAATACAAAAGTGATTACAAATATCACGACGTTTTGATCGCAACACAAGAAAGAACCATAGAATATGTATGTATGTTAAATTTCGATTTAAAGCTTTCGTGACTGCAAGGATTCATCTTCTTTGGTTCTTTCGGTAAGGTCACGTAGAATGAGAATAAAATAATAGAAATAACCAAAGAAGATAAATGTATGTTGTTTAATTTCTTTTGCACCGTCCGTAGCCAACCGTGCTACTCAACTGTGCGAATCATGCGTCACCACGCTGGTCAGTGCAGTTTGAAGGGTGTTGGTGGGTAGCAAAACCGGTTCAGACATCGTTCGCCACGGTTATCCTTTGGCCGGAATCAAACCCGGGTCGCCGAGCCAACAGCGCAGTGCCCTAACTACTGCGCCACCGCTCCACCAAAAATAAAGCACAATTATAATTATTATTCTAGAACCAGCAGCTCCTCGATCAGCTCAGTGGTGGCTACATCACCACGCAAACGAACAAACCCCAGTGAATCCCTGGCTCACCCACACTAGTCTGAGCTCGGTCTCCAGTTCCCATGCCACCCACCACCACCCCTCCACCTACTTCCAAAGATCCCTAATCGCCTCAACAGACGTGTGAGGCGAGTGCTGTTAGCGAGGACCCATGAAGGCCGGCCCGGGACGCGAGGAGGTGGGTGGCCAGCACCAGGCCCGGTCGCATTTGTCTCCCCAGTCGTGATGTTTAAATACCGCACAAAATACTAATTTGAGGCTGAGTCCGCCTCGGGGAGGCCCAGCACCGGTTCAGATAATCGTCACTGGTGCCCGTGTGCGGGAATCGAACTCGAGTCACCGGGTTAGGAGAGCAAGCGCACTAACCGCTACACTACCCACCCACATCCACTACCCACCCACATCCACTACCCACCCACATCCACTACCCACCCACATCCACTATCCACCCACATCCACTACCCACCCCCCGACATCCACACCCACCTACCCCCACCCACCCACACCCACCTACCCCCACCCACCCACATCCACACCCACTCACACCCACTCACATCCACTCACCCCCACCACTTCTATCCACACCCATCCACACCCAACCACACCCAACCCCACCCACTCACCCTCACCCACGGATCCACATCCACCCACCCACACCCACCCACGCACCACCATCAGTAGCAGCATCACGAAACTCTTCGCAATGCGCTCTCTCGGTGTACCCCCGGTGTTGTAATTGGTCGTTTGCGTGTGACGTGCGTCGCTTAAAAGCCGGCGAGCTGCCCGCCACACGCGGATTAGAAGCGGGAGGGCTGCGCACTTCGACCGGAGGTGGCTGCTCGGTGTTACAAGCGGCAGCAGCAGCGGCGGCGGCGGCATTCGCAACGCTACCATCAGTAGCGACACCAGCAGACGGATCATCTTCAGAACCGACAGCAGGATCCTTATCACCAGCGACAACAACACGCACTATCACCTGCTATTAGCAGCAGCAACAACACCAGCTATCAGCAGCAACAGCAACACCAGCTATCAGCAGCAACAACACCAGCTATCAGCAGCAACAACACCAGCTATCAGCAGCAGCAACAACACCAGCTATCAGCAACAACAACACCAGCTATCAGCAGCAACAACAGCAACACCAGCTATCAGCAGCAGCAACACCAGCTATCAGCAGCAGCAACAACACCAGCTATCAGCAGCAGCAACAACACCAGTTATCATCAGCAACAACAACAACACCAGCTATCAGCAGCAACAACACCAGCTATCAGCAGCAGCAACAACACCAGCTATCAGCAGCAGCAACAACACCAGCTATCAGCAGCAACAACAACATCAGCTATCAGCAGCAGTCCGCAGCAACTATCAGCAGCAGCAGTCCGCAGCAGCTTTCAGCAGCAACAACACCAGCTATCAGCAGCAGCAACAACACCAGCTATCAGCAGCAGCAACAACAACATCAGCTATCAGCAGCAGCAACAACATCAGCTATCAGCAGCAGCAGTCCGCAGCAGCTATCAGCAGCAGCAGTCCGCAGCAGCTATCAGCAGCAACAACAACACCAGCTATCAGCAGCAACAACACCAACTATCAGCAGCAACAACAACACCAGCTATCAGCAGCAGCAACAACACCAGCTATCAGCAGCAACAACACCAGCTATCAGCAGCAACAACACCAACTATCAGCAGCAACAACAACACCAGCTATCAGCAGCAGCAACAACACCAGCTATCAGCAGCAGCAACAACACCAGCTATCAGCAGCAGCAACAACATCAGCTATCAGCAGCAGCAACAACATCAGCTATCAGCAGCAACAACACCAACTATCAGCAGCAACAACAACACCAGCTATCAGCAGCAGCAACAACACCAGCTATCAGCAGCAACAACACCAGCTATCAGCAGCAACAACACCAACTATCAGCAGCAACAACAACACCAGCTATCAGCAGCAGCAACAACACCAGCTATCAGCAGCAGCAACAACACCAGCTATCAGCAGCAGCAACAACATCAGCTATCAGCAGCAGCAACAACATCAGCTATCAGCAGCGGCAGTCCGCAGCAGCTGTGCCCTGCGGTGGCGGCACCCGTTCAGAGGAGTTTCGCTCGGAAGAGATCACAAAGATCACTCGACTACGACACATGGATGCGTTACGTCCTCGAGTTTAAGAGAGTTGAGTTTCGTTTTACAGAGACGATTCACAACGATCTATAGAAGCAACGAGAAGACTGCACATCATCATTCGTCTTCAGGAATTCTACATCGCGAGGGTGCCGCGTTCGCGTTGCGGCACAACGCACCTCGGGAAGGTTCTGGGCGAGTTGAAGACCGAAGGGAATATTCATAATGATGACTCGGGTCACGTTTCGGATCGAACGAGAGACACGGAGATGAAAGCGACGCATGAACTGCATCTTCACTTTACCCGGAGGGCTGCCGAGACGGAAGTCAGGCACAGGTCGAGGAATTCGTCTCATCAGGGAATCATTGATCGCTGCCGTTGTATTATTTTTACAGTGGCTGAGTGATTTTCTTTTTGCGTACATAAGTCTCAAACACGCACACATACGCGTTTATAAACATACACACACGGCCGCACACAGACACACGCACAGATGTATGTATGTTGTATGTTGAACTTCTTTCGCGCCGTGCGTAACCAATCGTGCTAATCGGAAATGCGGGGGAAGGACAACTAAATATGAAAAAGCAGTTCTAAAGAAATTTGTTTTCAATTCAGATGTAACAACAAACACACATATCTAACATTGATCCCTCACCAGTTGCAAGAGCACTAATTGCCGTGAGCGTACACCTCTTCAGGCGGCCGAAACATCACACACTGGCACACGCAAGCACACAGCTCCGAAACTGACACACTCGCACGCACACACCCTCACATACGTGATCCCGCTCGCCCGTGAATAACAAAGGTGGAGCAGAGCAGGCGGTGATCGAGTAACCGCGGGAGAGGCAGTCCGACACCACAGAAGCCACCGCCCGCCCCCCACGACCACGGTTGAGCCGTGACCCCCCTGGGTGGCCACTCCCGCGCCTCCCCCCGTGCACGATGCGCGATTGTGGGGCGGTCTGTGCCACCGCTCCCAGCCCACCATGATCGCAGGCGAAGCAGCCGCTCTCATCATCACAGCCGCGCTGCTTCACCTGGCCGCACCGCACGGAGGACTCGGGTTTGGAGAACGAGGTGGTGCTGCTGCTGCTGCAAGAGGATTTGGAGGCGCGGGGGCGAGAGAAGCATCGATCGGAAGCGTAGGAGGACTCGGAACGCGACGAGGAGGAGGAGGAGGATCTGAGAGACGCGCAGACCTCCTCCTGGCAGAAAAGTCTCCGGCGACAACGCTCGGCCGCGATGACGAGGAGAAAGCGCGGAGTGGGAACTCGCGGCGGCTGCTGGAGGAGCTGGAGGGGAGGCTGCTCGGGGTTTTCGGGCTGCAGAGGCGACCACGACCCGGCACGGGGATCGCAGTGCCCGCCTACCTCGTGCAGCTCTACCGTGCCCAGCAGCACACGGGGCGCGGAGGCGGCCCCCGACGGCGATGGGCCCGGGCAGACAAGGAGCGTGTGGGCAAAGACGATGTGGATGTCGAGGAGGAGAAGGAGGAGGTCGCATTCCCACGGGAAGCGCAAGGAAGAGCAAACACCGTCCGAGGGTTTCATCACGACGGTGAGTGCCAATGAAGTCGCCTCCCCCTGGGGAACGACTCGAGTCGGACTAGCGGTCACAACACGGGTGACAGGTCGCCCCGTGCCGGACAACTGATGGCGACGTGCTCACGTGTTGCCCGACGTTCTCGCGGGAAGGGAATACATTATTGAGATTGGAATGCGGCACCTTTTTCAAAGTTTACATCGCCACTTGAGTTTGCAAGTTTACGGTGGTGATTGTCAGAGGGAAAGGTCACGTGCGGTGTTTGTGTAGCCGCTCAGCCGTTCTTTGGGGCAAAGTAGCACATCGAATGCGAGTGGGCAAGCGAGTGTGAATGTGTTGTGTGCCGGAGTGAGTGTGCACTACGATACGAACCCGGCGACCAGAGTTCGATTCCCACTCATCGCCAACACCAGTGACAACGATTATTTGAATTGGTCCTGGGCCTCCCCTAGGTCGACTCAACCTCAAATGAGTACCTGGTGCAATGTGTAAAAATCATCGCCACTAGGTAGACAAAGGCGGCCGAGCGTGGTGCTGGTGCTGGCCATCCACCTCCTCCTGTGCGGTGCATCTGCATATCGCTGTGTGGAAGCTAACAGGCCTGTCACGCCACACAAAGCTCCGGTCTTCTCGGCCACAGTTATGCTCTCCCTTCTCAATGCTTACGAATTGTGGAGCCTTCTGATTGAATATTTGCGCCGGTTTGAAACTGTATTGTGCGGGGGGGTTACAGATCCTTGAAGGATCTGGACACAATCCCATCGGTAAGCTCCTCCGTTGGGCAAGGCTGCGTTCGCTGGGTCATGTAGCCTGCATGCCCAGCCACCGCATGTCAAGATCGGCCTCTGTGGAGGAGGCTCGTGAAGGACGCTACTGGGCAGTTGGAGGCAGTCGCCCTCCAACAACAACGGAGGGCAAAGGAGGGACGCTCACAACAACGAGCGGAGCGCCGGGTGGCTAAAGCACAGCAAGTTGGCACAGTAAGGGGCACAGGTAGTGCATCAGCCAGTCATCTCAGTCAGTCGACCCATGGCACCTGGGTCTGCCCCGTGACCTCCTGCCAGCGGGCGTTCGACACTTCACGTGGCCTCAAGGTGCACAGAACCTGGCACAAGCGCCGTGGATGACGTCACCGCCACTTAGTGGCGAATGGCGGTTGTTGTTGCGTGTGTATATTGCTTGACTGCGTGTGCGCCTGAGAGCGTGTGAGTTTAGCGCGCTGCGCTACGAACCGGGCCACCGAGTTCGATTCCCGCGCGCGGCCAACACCAGTGACAGAGATCATTTGAACCGGTTCTGAACCTCCCCTAGGTCGACTGGTTCAGTGTGCAAAAATAATCGCCACTGGGGAGACAAAGGCGGCCGGGCCTGGTGCTGGCCACTCACCCCCTCGTGTACCGTGGCTGCCTTAAGAAAACTTTCCCCGACATTCTGTTATAGGCTATACGGGGGATCTTTGACTTTTTATATTGTGTGTTTGTCTATGTGTGTTTGTCTTTGTGTGTTTCTCTTTGTCCAGGTGTAGTGGAGCGGTAGTGTAGTTCTTAGCGCTCTGCGCTCCGAACCCAGCGATCAGAGTTCAGTTCCCGCTCACGGCTAACATCAGTGTAGCAAATATCTGAACCGTTCCTGGATCTCCCCTAATCGACTCAGCCTCAAATTATTTACCTTGCGCAGTGTATAAACACAGGAACTGGAGAGCCAAAGACTGTCGGGCGTGGTGTTGGCCACACCACCCCTTCGTGTGACTTGCTGGCCTTCATAGATACTCGCTGACAGCACTTAGAGACTATATGGGGAATATTGGACGTGTGTGGGTACTGGAAGGACACGAGCCGTTGTTTCAATGTCTCGCTATGAATGGAGCTGCCCGTATCCTTTTTAATGCCTCTTGTTCTTGAATTTGGAAAAGTTCAGCGCCGAAGTTTTCTCCACGTGGCATGGCTCTCCTATGGGAAGCCAACGCAGTTTGCCGTCCCTCACCTTCAAATGGATGTTCACATTAGGAGCGACTCCAATAGAGTAACCGTAGCGATTAACAATATTTTGTCGTTACGATTTGATATGTTTTAATATATATAAAGATAACCTGCAACCAAAGCATAATGAATGCGGCCGCGTTTCGTCTGATGTCAAACGCTAATATATTTATATGGGCGACTACCGTTTGTAATCGGTGTTATAGGCCGCGGGGCTACGTGACGGGTAACAGATGGCAGTGCTGAAAAGCCAAAAGTTTTAATTTAACGCTGAGCCGACGTAGGTGAGGTCCTAGATATTAGCTACGAATGTTAGAGCCATACATGGGATTGAACGCGAATGTTAGAGCCATAAATGGGATTGAACGCCAGTCGCTGGGTTTGTAGAACAGTTCCCGAACCACGACACAACCGCTACCAACTACTGACACAACCCTGATGCGTACTCATGTTTCCAAGCACTCATTCACTCTGAGTGGCAGTGACATCACCAAGACGCTTGTGCCAGCCTAGGTGCACCCTGAGGCCACATATAAAGTGTCAACAGCATTGCTGGCAGAAGATCATGGGACAGATCTAGGTGTTATGGGGTGACTGCCTGGGATGACAGCAGATGCAACACCGGTGTTCGACAACAGTCCACACACACGAGCATACAATAAACATACCTAGTCGCCCAAAGACAAAGATACCTCAATTGGCGTTGAAAGGCTGTAGGGGCAAGTGCTGTTAGCGAGCACCTATAAAGGCTGGCACGGCACGTAAGGGGGTGGGTGGCCAACACCACGCCTGGCCGCCTTTATCTCCCTAGTGACGATGTTTACACACCTCACAAGGTACTCATTTGAGGCTGAGTCGACCTAGGGGAGGCCCAGGACCGGTTCCGATAATCGTCACTGATGTTGGCCGTGAGCGGGAATCGAACCCGGGTCGCCAGATTCATCGTGCAGTGCGCTGACCGCTACACTGCCGCTCCCCACACACACAAACAGCCCACACAAAAGACAAAGACAAAGATCCCCCATATAGCCTTAACAGACTGTAGGGGCAAGTGCTGTTAGCGAGCACCTATGAAGGCCGAAACGGTACTCGAGGGGGTGGGTGGCCAGCACCACGCCCGACCGCCTTTGTCTCCCCAGTGGCGATGTTTACTACACACCGCACCAGGTACTCATTTGAGGCTGAGTCGACCTAGGGGAGGCCCGGGACCGGTTCCGATAATCGTCACTGATGTTGGCCGTGAGCGGGAATCGAACCCGGGTCGCCAGATTCATCGTGCAGTGCGCTGACCGCTACACTGCCGCTCCCCACACACACACACAGCCCACACAGACACGTGCGCACACACACACAGCCCACACAGACACGTGCGCACACACACACAACCCACACAGACACGTGCGCACACACACACAGCCCACACAGACACGTGCGCACACACACACAGCCCACACAGACACGTGCGCACACACAAACAGACCACACAAACACGTGCGCACACACAAACAGCCCACACAGACACGTGCGCACACACAAACAGCCTACACACACACGTGCACACACACAGCCCACACAGATACGTGCGCACACGCACAGCCCACACAGACACGTGCGCACACACACACAGCCCACACAGACACGTGCGCACACACACACAGCCCACACAGACACGTGCGCACACACACACGTGCGCACACACACACAGCCCACACAGACACGTGCGCACACACACACAGCCCACACAGACACGTGCGCACACACACACAGCCCACACAGACACGTGCGCACACAGACACGTGCGCACACACAAACAGCCCACACAGACACGTGCGCGCACACACAGCCCACACAGACACGTGCGCACACACACACAGCCCACACAGACACGTGCGCACAGACACACAGCCCACACAGACACGTGCGCACACACACACAGCCCACACAGACACGTGCGCACACACACACAGCCCACACAGACACGTGCGCACACACACACAGCCCACACAGACACGTGCGCACACACAAACAGCCCACACAGACACGTGCAATAAACACAAACAGCCCACACAGACACGTGCGCACACACAAACAGCCCACACAGACACGTGCGCACACACAGCCCACACAGACACGTGCGCACACACACAACCCACACAGGCACGTGCGCACACACACAGCCCACACAGACACGTGCGCACACACACACACAGCCCACACAGACACGTGCGCACACACACAGCCCACACAGACACGTGCGCACACGCAAACAGCCCACACAGACACGTGCGCACACACACACAGCCCACACAGACACGTGCACATACACAAACAGCCCACACAGACACATGCACACACACAAACAGCCAACACAGACACGTGCGCACACACAAACAGCCCACACAGACACGTGCACACACACAAACAGCCCACACAGACACGTGCACACACACAAACAGCCCACACAGACACGTGCACACACACAAACAGCCCACACAGACACGTGCGCACACACACACACACAGCCCACACAGACACGTGCGCACACACAAACAGCCCCACACACACGTGCGCACACACAAACAGCCCACATAGTCACGTGCGCACACACACACAAACAGCCCACACAGACACGTGCGCACACACACAGCCCACACACACACGTGCGCACACACACTGAGCCATGTCAGGCGTGACAAAAAATGTGCACGGTTCCCCCATTCAAGTTCGCGTTCCAAAAATTAATGCAATATATCCTTTCACGGCTGCGGTCTTATACAATCTAGCATCCCAAACGATAGGAGTGGAAATTCCACATTTATATGGCTGGAACCAACCTCTATAGACTTCCCACAAAGTGTACTGATCTTTTTTTATTTTAAATCACTCCTTCCTCCGTCCCGATTGGGATTTAAACTCGTGTTGCCAAATCAAGTGCTCTGATCACAGAAACCACCCTGATGTAAGACAACTGACATTAGTTTAAACGCAGGTGGGTGTTGTGTTGGAATCACAGTTAACACCAATTCCTGGTCATGATACGCAACATCATCATGGCATTTGAAACCCTCTTCTAGGTTGACTCAACCTAAAACGAGTAGCTGGCTTTACGGGGTTATCAGCAACAGCGAGACAATTTAACCATGCATGGGTGGTGTGGCCCCATCCGCCCTCTTTAAGATGTTAATGGTTAAATGTTTCACTAAGGGTCCGCACAATCTAGAATGGGGCACCTCCCTCTGTGTGTGTATGGCCACACACACACCTCAGATTATCACGGTTGGCAACATGCGGTGAGAAAAAAGTTCAACATACATGCACACATTGCCATTGGTGAGCTCCTCCGATAGGCGAGGCTGCGTTGGCTGGGTCACGCAACCCACTAATGCATGCTCAAGCAACTTTTATTTTTCCGGATAGAAGGGGATAAACGGACACGAGAAGAGATGGGCTGATGTAGTACAGGAGGACATGGAGCTGATTGCCGATGGCTGGTATCAATGGTGTCAAGATCGTCCTCTATGGAGGAGGCTCGTGAAGGACACTACTCGGCAGTTGGAGGCAGTCGCCCTCCAGCAACAATAGAGGGCAGAGGATTGACGCTCGCAACAACGAGCGGAGTGCTAGGCTGCTAAAACACAGCAAGTTCGCACAGTGAGGTGTGCAGGTGTTGCATATGCAAGTCATCTGTCAATCAGTTATATAATTAGAGGCTTGCCTCGTGACCTCGTGCCAGTGACACTTCCATACTTCACATGGCCTGAAAGTGCACCTAAGCTTGGCACAAATAAATGAAGGCACAATTACTCAAAGGTTGTTGTTGTTTTGCATGTATCCAGAGTCTACGGAGAAGCTCTCACTTGGGCAGAGCACGGAAGACGGAACAACGTGGCACTTCCTCTTCAATCTCTCGTCCATCCCGGACTCTGAGGAGGTGACTGCGGCTGAACTGCGCGTGCACCACACACGCGTGCACAGCCCATGTCCCTCATCCTCGCCGGCATGCGAGTTGGCCCCTCGGCTGGAGCGCATCAACGTGTATGAAGTTGTGGCGCCGCCATCGTCTCCATCGGGCGCTGCCTCCCGGCTGCTGGACACTCGCGTGGTGCGCACAAACGAGTCGCGCTGGGAAGCGTTCGACGTGAGCCCCGCCGTGTCGCGCTGGACCCGGGGCTCCGCACCTAACCGGGGCTTCGCAGTCGAGGTGCTGCCCGTCCGGCGGCCAAGTGGCGGGGTGGCCGCCAATGGCGTGCCCAGCGAGGCGGTGCTCGCGCAGCCCCGCTCGGGCGTCGCCTCGCTCTTCCCGGGCGATGGGAGCCACCAGACCGAGCCGAGACCGCTCCTCGTCACTTTTGGCAGCGACGGCCGGGCCCCATTCACGCCGCGGAGCCGTGCAAGGAGGAGCATCGGTGGGGCCCCAAGGCAGGCGGCGCACAAGGCGAGGCGCAAGCCGCGCTACAGCTGCAGGCGCCACGCGCTCTACGTCGACTTCCGCGAGGTGGGCTGGAATGACTGGATCGTGGCGCCGCCCGGGTACCACGCCTACTTCTGCCACGGCGAGTGCCCCTTCCCTCTGGCCGACCACCTCAACTCGACGAACCACGCCATCGTGCAGACGCTCGTCAACTCGGTGAACGCGAGCATCCCTCGCGCCTGCTGCGTGCCCACGGAGCTCAGCCCCATCTCCATGCTCTACCTGGACGAGTACGGCAAGGTGGTGCTCAAGAACTACCAGGACATGGTGGTGGAGGGCTGCGGCTGCCGCTAAATGGCGCTGTCAATGCGAGAAGCGCCTGAAGTGTGGAGAGGGGCGACGCTGCGATGGCAGGCATGGGGTAAGAGCTCATTATGGTGACCTGACCCGATCCCTGATCCTAACAACTTAGCCGATCAGACATCAGCACTGACGCTACTCCTGACCCCGGCCCTGACCTTACTCCAATCATCCCTGATGCTTTGTTCAGCCCCTTTTTCACATTTTGTTTGATTTTTACCTTCGGGGGCCCAATTTGCAATTTGACTAAAGTGAGATAATTGGATGAAATGTTGGAGACATCTTTGCCATGATGGGACACGTGCCAGGGCACCGCTGGCGTGCCGCAGTGCGTTCTGATGCGAGGCGTGAACATGAATCGTGGCGCTGGCAGTGATCGTGCAGCTAGGGTCCGGTCTCATCTCGGAAGGAATGGAGTAAAATGTGACGACGTAAACAGAAGGACCATCCTGGCAGGGGCTCTCTGCTTTGGGAAGCACCACTGCATTTTTTTTCACGAAGTATTGCCGTGAGATCGGGGTGGTGCGTGAAGATGGCGACTCTACAAAGAGCCCTGGGTGGCACGCCAGGCGAAGAGAACCAACGCCGTGCGGCACAAATGACTCTCGCTATGAAACTTTCTTCCACTCTGTATTTATACAAAAACTAAATATACTGGATGGTCATGAATAATTGTTTTCCTAAATGATTAAATATTTATATAACTAATGAAACAAAGTCCACACAACAAATAAGTTCTGCACACGAACATTTTACCTGCATTAATTTTATAATGAAACGTTGGGTTATTATCGTTATATTATATAAACTACAATGATCACAAAGTTTTAAATCCTTTATATATTTATTGTTATATCCATTGATATATCAGCACACATGTCTGTATTTATATATTTAGCTATAATGAAAATGTGAATTTAACGTTTTTACAAATCTGCTGTGGATTCATTTTTGTTTGCACGATGAGGCCAGGATTCGTGCAAATACATAACCAAAGACAAATATGCCCAAGATTAGCCTTAACAGGCTTTTGGGGCAAGTGCTGTTAGCCAGGAGCAGCTATGAAGGCCAGAACGGCACACCTTTGTCTCTCTGAGCGGCGTTGTTTACACACCGCTACATCAGGTACTCATGTGGGGCCGAGTCGACCTAGGGGAGGCCAAAAACCGGTTCAGATAATCGTCACTGGTGTTGGCCATGATCAGGAATCGAATGTGGGTGGCTGGGTTCATAGTGCAGCGTGCTAATCACGGCGCCACACCCCCCACACTCTCACATTCACACGTGGATATGCACCCACACTAGGTGCTCAAAATCAAGGCACAATGCCTTCACTGCACATAAATTTGCATTGCCACACACCCCCACCACCCAAAGTCCAGTCCCATTTAGCAGAAAATCAGAAGATGTGCCACCATCGCACAGCCTTGAACCATTTCACCGAAAGTTTTTCTCCATTCTTCCACCGTCAAGAGTTATTTTTGACGCCCTGACGAAGTAGTTTTCGAGTGCACAGGGCACGATTTGGAAAAACGCAATTCATGGAAGTGGAAATTGATTCACAGTGGACATTTACACGTGTGCCTGCGATGTCTCGCGCACGCAAGCACACAAGAATTATCATGGTCTGTGGATAATTATGATAGATGTCCCCAGTGGTTGCTCGTGTTGGCGTGGTTGTGATGCGTGCACTCGTGTGTGCGGGTGGCCCCACAGAACTTAGCCTGGGAGTCAGACACCCATCCACCACCACCATCGTTACTCGGTCACCTCCACGCCTACTCCCCACAACCACGGCTGCGTCACGACGCCCACGTTCTCTCCCCCCCCCGCCCCCGCTTCTCAGAGTAGTGACCTCCAGCTGAGAATCCGTAGATTCCAATCTTACTCCACATTCTTCATCCTGAGGGTTCAAGTTAATGTGCGGGCATGTGCATGACGCCATAGCAATGCACTTACCATGGATATATTTGTGCAGCCCTTAAGGCAATCTCAGTGTTACAATGCTACGTAACTTGATTTTATCAAACAATTACTTACAATCGTGTCTCATGATGCGGCACACACTGGGCCATATGTGCTGTGATATTATCTGAAAGGGAGACATTTATGAAAAATGTGCCTTCCCCCCAATGCTATCTCGATTGTGCTATTGGTATCACGGAATGAGACAAAATACCCATTCAGATCACTCACAGAGCAGTGCTGCGACCTTTTGTGTTGGCCCACGGAATAACAATGGCCCACGGAAGTGGATATTACAGAGTTACCTCCTAGATGCCTTTACGTGAGCTATAGTTTACACAGCAGAGGCAGAACTTTCTTCGTTGTTTGACGAGAGCATGACTCTACTACTTCTTAGCTAGAAGTGCCGTTGTCACGTGCGGTGGGTTGTTCAAACTCTCTCATATTCACGCGTCTCCATTACGTGTCTCTCCTTCCATCACACCGACCCCGGTGAGATAATGGGAGGAACTTGCAACCTACCAAAATATCTAGTTTACCAGTCAAACCTCCCACATTTCATAATGTAAAGATCAAATCAATATTTACCCTTGGTCAATCCACTGCTAGATGGTGATCTCCCCACGCCATGTGGATTATGGGTGTTGTTTGACTATACGGAGCTCACCACGCGAGTCCATGTGGATTAGCGTGGTGCGATAACCACTGTGCCACTGCTCCCTACGTGAACAAAGATAAAGATCCCCTTAAAGCCCTAAACAGACTTGGGGTATGGCACACAAGGGGTGGGTGGCCAAGCACCATGTCTCCCCAATACTGATATTTATACATCGCACCAGATACTCATTTAAGGCTGAGTCGACATAAGGGACGCCCGGGTTAGCTTCAAACATTCACGAGTGTTCGCTGTGAGCGGGAATCGAACTTGGGTGGCCGGATTCATAGCGCAGCAGGCTAACCGCTCCACTACCACTTCCCCATACACAAACGCACACTCGCCTAATGACACACACAAACAAGCAGTGGTGACACGACACACGCCCTGTGGTTTGAGCCGCGCCGGGGTGAGGCGGCTGGTTTAACAGCCTTGCTCTCGTCATGGGTCTCTTGAGGGAGCGGATGATGCCGGAGTGAGTGGGCGGTGGCAGTGATGGTTGGTGAGGGGTGAGTGGTGGTCAAAGGAGAGAGACGGTGGAGAGAGAGAGAGAGAGAGCGAAAGATTGGAATGTGTGCGCATATTGCGCGGACTAAACAGCTCCGTTCTACCCCTCTCGGCCCCCTTATCCCCCTGAGGCGAGGCAGCCTGCCCGAGCTGGGACCAACTCGGAGCAGAACCCTCCCAGGTTGCCCCCACCACCCCCGTAATGGAGCTTACATCACCAGGGCACGCACCGGGCTACACGAGAACACACACACCGGACGTGTGTGTATATACAAGTATATACACACACGTCCACACACACCGGGCTGTATGCCATAGTGGGGTTTAACAACTGCAGCCACCGTTCACCACTAAGTGACGTAGGCGTCCCCACAATGCTTGTGCCAAGCTAGGTGCACCTTGAGGTAACGTGAAGTGTCGAAGGCTCTCTGCTGCCAGGAGGTCACAGGACAGAGCCAGGTGCTGTGGGTCATCTCAGGCAGTGAGGTTGAGATGACTGACATGCATCACCTGTGCGCCCCACTGTACCACCTCAGTTTTGCTGGATAGAGAGGGGTAAATAGGCGTGACACGGGCTGAATAAGCGATGGGCCGTAGTACAGAAGGATGTGGAGCTGTTTGGACATGCCGATGACTGGTATCAGCGGTGTCAAGATCGGCCTGCAGGAGGCTCGTGAAGGATGCTCCTGGGAACTTGAAGGCAGTCAGCCTCCAACAACAACGGAGGGCAGAGGAACGACGCTCACGAGTGGTGAGCCAGTCTCTAACATTGCACTGCTCTGCAAGAGATCCAAATTGATTCTTTGTCTCATGACATGACACCGATAAGGCCATCAAGATAAGATTTTGAATGTCTATTGTTAAACACGTACCATTCATGAGAACAGGAACACAGCAGCAAAAGCAACACGAGCCACGTAGCGCAGCGCAACACGGATGTGCCGCTGGGCAGGCACGCTGCATGGTCGCATTGGGCAGGTCTGGGCTGTGTTTGTGGGAGCGAAGGGAGAGCCCACGGGCGGTGCACAAGGGAAGTTTATGGGGCGTAAGGTGGCGTCGGCCATCCCGGAGACGTTGAGCGACAATGAATGAGAGCAGCAGTTCTCAATCATTGTTGCGGCGGAGGCCTCCCAACCCAGACTACCGCTGCCAGCCTTCCCCCCTTTCTCCCCCAAGCCCACAAAACGCAACCAAGGCTCCGAAGGTCAGGATACACATAGAGGTCACGTGTCCACGCCGCTGGTTTAGAGCCACCGGTAGTGACCGGATTAAACAGCCTCAAGGTTGTCGTGCTGCACCTCCGCTGGGCACGGGTAGCTACGTACGGTGCTAAAAAAGGTAAACGTACATCGATATATACGTGCCGACCTGAATAGGTGCTTGCTAACAGCCTACAATGCAATGTTTTGCATACTGTATATGTGGGTGAGCTTTTGTCACAAGTTCACGTATAGGTAATGATATAGTAATAAACATCCCTCTTTCAATCTACTGCTAGATGATTGCGCTTTGCAAATCGTATGACTCTACTTAACACGAAGAGTAGAGGCAATGTTTAATTGAGTTTCCTTCAGTGGGTACGGCCTGCTTTGGCATCATTCTGAGACGCGATCACGAACAACATTTTGTTTTGTATTAGATACTGATATCGAACAAAGGATCAGGCAGAGATGCATGCTTGGAATTTGAGGCAGAAGGAGAAACGCACAAACTGAAGAAGATAATCAGGTTAATTACATCATTCAATAAGTGAATGTGATCAAACTGAGTGGGCTTGGGCCGGAGGCACCACGGCTTAAAGGGTTGCTGGACCACAGTCAAGAATAATGACGGAGCATCCGAGGGTTGGAACGCGTCCAAAAGGACGTCCACTGAGGAGATGGAAGCAATGTAATCCTCACACCGTGTGACAGTGCATTGTGGGGAAGCCTTCATCTAGCAGTAGATTGACTATGGCAAAAGATTATGACAATAACTCCCCCACACTGATCCGGTGTGGGTTGGCAGAGTCGGGAAGTGTGGATGTGGGAGGGAATGCGCGTGACCCCTGCACTCCACTGGCCAGAGTGGTGAAGTATAGTCAAATAACCCCCACGACCCGCAGGGTGTGTGCAGGCACCCATCCAACGTAGATCGACTGTACATGTGTAGTGCAATAGCGCTGGCCGCTATCTACAAAGTGTAACTACAAGAGACGGCAGTATGTTTAACATGTAGGCTTTCGTGACCAATATCCATAATATAGGTTTTTGGGTTAGATCGCATAAATATATAAATGTGTCGTTAAAACCCACCACAACCCGACACAGCCAACTAGTAAGGGTTGTCACGTAAACAGAACGTGCCAATTCGTCACTAGTACAGCACTAACCGGTGTGTTGGAGAGCCAAGCCACAACATTTACAAACTGAGTACGACGTTGTGCCAATAATTACAACTAGCTTCATCAGGCGACAGCCAGATTTGTGGAGAAGTCTTACTATTTCGTTCCTTATATAGAGGCCTAGATGTGTTGACCACGCTTCTGCGCACTTGCACAATGTGGGGGGGGGGATTACTAAGGCAACGTACATTATGCATGTGCATTATGCGAGCCCTTTGAACTTATCCTTCCTGTCTATTGTGTTTATTAAAATAGCCCTACCAACGGTAATCCCTATTGAAGTACGCTGTCCTTTGTAGGCATCTACGCCTCTATATAAGGAACGAAACAGGTGGACTTCTCCAGAAATCTGGTTGTCACCTGATGAAGCTCGTTGTAATTACTGGCGAAACGTCGTACTCAGTTTGTAAATATT